TCCACGAGGTGCTCCTGAGAGTTATGTAGGGCATCTCTAGGATGAGTTAAAAAATGTACATGGGGTTATCCTAACCCCTTTATTTGTACACCTTTCTTAAAGCCTGGTCTTTTTCAGTTCAAGAATTGAATGCTGGAGAAATAACAAGTTACTTTGTTACAAATGCAAATGAGACCCTGAGCAAAAGCTTTCACCCTCTGTCATCTAGATAGAGAGGAAAAAGTTGGTTTTACAAACATTTTAACATGCCAGTCCTTTGGACCATATTATAGAAATAGAGCACAAAAACCTGTGTATGTTTGTCTTCTAATAAGTCACAGAAATTTCAAGATACCTAACTCTTGACTTAAGGGCATCTATGTCTATGTTTATACTGCGTGTTAGAGTGTCAGAAGCTTCATGTGGAGTTCTTAGTTTTTACAGATTGACTAAGTGCTGCCTAGCACCATGGTGATGGCAGAGCTGGTGGTGGAGAGGAGCTCTGCCCTAAGGAGTGCTAGCCCTGGACTCTCAGCACTCTTACCATGAGGCAGAATTGTTGTCCTTGATTAAGTGTATTGGAGATCTGGGTAAAATATGGAAGCACTTAATTATTGTGCTGCACATTTTTAATAAAAAATTATTGGAATTCATAAAAGTGCAGTAGTAATGCAAATACTGTGGCTGGTGGCCATATCTGAGGTTTATGTGGGAAAGTTCAAAGTTAGTTAACTCACCTTAGGAGATGGAGCTTTACAGCATCTTTAATCCAAGTTTAGGGATGCAAAATCTGAGTGGCTTTTGGACAAAGGGAGGACTTTAGGGAGGGACAGGCATTTGAGCTGAAAAACAGTCCTTTGCTGCTGTAAGTACAAGCCTGTCTTTAGGCTTTGTTTGTTTGAAAATTGAGGCAGGCCTAGGGAGGGGATGAAAGCTCAGACAGTGTCCCATTGTGTGTGCATGAGATGTGGATTCTGCCTGTTCTCATCTAAGCTTCAGCAAGAATCTGGGAGATGTGTATGTTGAGGGGAAAAAAGGCTTTTTCTCAAAGTGAAGTACTTGCAATAATTGTACTTTTGCAAGTATCAAGCCTCTTTGGTTCCTGTAAAGAGGCTGTATATTTGAAGAGTTCAAGAATATGAAATTGGCAGAGTTCATTGGAAAAGCATAAATTCAGGTTATATAAAAAACCTAAAACACTAATGCACCCCTGTCCAAGAGGCATGCCATGTGTTGGAGGAATATACATGGAATGGAAAGTTCTGGGCAGTGTTTGTGTATGAAAACAATCTGAATAATTTGGGTTTTGTTTTTGCCATGTATGCAAAAGGAGTGTGGATATTGTTTTTACATTGTTTTTAAAGTCAAAGTGTTCCAGCAGCTTTATCACAAACTTTTATAAAAACACCGTATGAGTCCAGACTGCTGTAGAAACTGCAGCAATGCTCACGGTGGGACAAAATTGCCCTTTCACTAATGATTTCAGCACAGCAAACTACAAGTTCAATCTGGGAAATGTTTGTCTCTTGGGATTTTTTTTGGTCTGAAGCCATGACTTTCAAAAGAACTTGATGAGAAGGTGTAAAGCCTAATAATACTGACTTCCTTGTTTATTTTTTAAGTTTATTTATGCACTGATTGATTTCGAGAGGTCAGGTCCTTTGCTGAAATTTAAATCAATCAGGAGCAAATGTGTTCTAAAATTCAAGGTGCAAGTCTATTTTTTTTTATCTGAGTTGAGCAGCATTATTTATTATTAGAGATGACACTTATTTCAGTGTTATGCAGTTGTTTTGGGGTGTCAGTGTACAACTTTGTGGTTTAAAAAAGCTTTGCTAGGTCCTTTCTTACCCTTTTTTTCCTTAATATATCTCTGTTTTCACATGTAATTGGAAACTAAATCAGTACTTGTCACTTGTTAGGTGACAGAAGTTTTTATTTTGTGCTAAATTGGCCAATGGTAGAGTTTAGAACATGTGATTTCTTTGTAAATAATTGCTACTTTAAAAAAAATTTAAAAGTGAAAGTCCCTGATTATCCAACTCAAACCCCCTCTTGTTCATCAATTCATCCATTCACCTGTGAAAAGCTTTTCCTTTTTTTGTTTGTGTTTGCACTTGATTTGTATTACAGGCAAAGTGACAGCAGTCATGCACTGAAGAAGCAATCAGTTGACCTGTATATTTTGCTTCTAGTTATACAGACCTAAAAGTTTTATTTGTATGAAGTTGCATTAGTAGTTTTATCCATGGGAAGAAGCATTGACAATTCTGTGACTTTTGTTTGATATTTGTATGGCAATTGTGTGGCTTACAGGATCCTTGGTAAACTGATACTGAAAGTGTTGAATGTTCTCAGTTTCAGTGCGAGTCAAAGCAAAGTTACTTAGTTGAGTTGTTTGCTGCTTTGTCTTTCAGCAAGAAGAAAAATCTGTGATACAGACAGACAATGAGTAAATATGGTTTTGTTCACATCTCCTAAATAATGAGCTGAGAGACTGAGCTACAGCTCTGGCTTGGTGCTGTTACAGGCTTTCGTCTTGTGTCAGCTTTGCATGTATTACGCAATCTGTTCATAGTATATAAAAATGCACAAACCATATTACTGAGCTGCAAAAGCTCCACTGCTGATACATCAAAGGAAGCAGCAGCTGTCATCCAGTTTTAGCCATGGTGCTTTTGAATGCCTTAATCTTCTTCCCAAACAGAAGAAGGCGGAGAGAGTGCACTTTCTTTATCCACTCCTTCTTCTATTTTTTTTTTAAGTTTTGGTAGCAAAATCCAGAAGCTGTGTTCAGAAGCCAATACTGCATGGCAGAAGACATAATTTTCTTTGCATCTGGTCTGGACATTTCAATCGTCATGTATGCTAAGCCCTTTCAAATGTACTTTTTAGTAAAGTTAGATACACAAATAAACTTTGTGTTTATTCCCAAGTGCTCAAAGTATCAAAATTATTATTCAGTTATACATCATTTCAGTTTCCTTCAAACTTTGTTCCCTTTCAGTTGCTGAAGGGGTGTATGTTGCGATTGTACTCAGAACCTGAGTTACAAGAAACAGATGTCTACCATTGGAATTAATATATTTTACTTTGTGTGACTTCCACATTTCGAGATTTTTTTTAACAGTACAAGTTTTACAAGACAATTACTACAAAATTGCTTCCCTAAGAAGTGAGCAAGATATACTACAAATAAAAGTTTAATCTTATAGAGCTGTTTTTAAGGTCTGTATGGTGCAGTGTCCTGTCTCCAAAGTGGGTCATGGCAGAAGTCAGGGGATGGGTATGAGAATTGAGCAAGAAAGCAGTGATACTTCCCTGACATACTTTCCTGTCTCAATAGCACTTCCCAAGTCAGAAGATGTTCTTTGAACTGAAAAAACACACACAGGTTTTTCTTCTTCACTAATTTGCCTAATCACTTTCCCTAACTGCATTTTTTAATAAATATGTATAAACACATTTCAAGGGAATAGAATGTGCAAAATTTTTATATTGAACCAAGTTACCAAAATTATTGGAAATAAATTATAAAAGAATGTGTTTTATGTGTTGGGTTTTAATTTTTTTTGTTTATTAGCCACTGTCTTGCAAAGTGAATTTGCACTGCAAAGTAATCTCAACAAGTGTAAAGCTGTCAGACTACAGCAATCATTAAATCGTCAGTCTAGATAAACTAATGGGAAACCATTTTAAGTCTTTGCTGACCTCCAGCCTCTCAGACCAAAAATACTTTGTTGTGCTGAAACAAGTAAGTAGCTAGAGTAAAATTTAATGTTTTAAGAATCCTTTTGTGTTGTCCTAAATACTCAAACAGAATTTCAAAACTCTGCAGTAAAAAGTGTGTCGACCAGGATCATACCGAAAGACAGATTAGAGAAAATTGCATTTGATGACAAGGTTTGGTATATTTAGAAATGCTCCTGTCACTGAAGTTGCTGCTGTGCCAGCTACTCCTACACTGGAGTCTGCTAATTTGTGTGACATCCTATCTATCCCAGCACACAAGGAAGATCAGAGATAACATGCAATAACTCCAGTCCTACTTCCGTTGTCAGACAAGGATCTTCCAAGCAGTGACATTACCTTCTTGTGGTTTACTACTGCAATCCCATTTTCCCTTCCCTCTTCATTAATACCCATTCTCAAACTCCTCAATTTGAAATGCCATCTATTTACATCTTTAAAATTCCAGAAGCGTCGGTATTGCTCATAAGGAAAATAATTACTGCCAAGAGAGAAAATGTGCATTTAGCATTCTGGGATGCTCATGACAATCTTATCCTAGCTCACACTGAGTAAGAGGTCATTGGTTTGTTTTGCTCTTGACAGGACACAAATAAGTCCCGGTTCAATGAAAATTTGAGGTACTACCTCATCACTATGGAATACAGTTGTTGGTAGTTTCAGTGGTGTATGTATGCTTCCAGCAGCTGTGCAACAGGCAAAGGAGCTCTTGTGGGCTGCTGTCCCAGTGCTCAGTAACACTGGGACATCTACAACTGTGTCCAAACACCTCACAGGTCAATGAAGAGACACAAACTGAAGGGCAGTTTCCAAGTGTCATTAAGCTATGGGAGAAGGAAGGCATCTCATGTTAGTTTATTCTTTCTTTTAATTTCTTCCTACCTGCCCCACAAAAAAAGATAACGTGTGTGCAATATAGTCTTACAAAGTAGAATAATGTTACTTTGAGGTTTGTGATATCACAAGGAAAAAGGGAAAATAACCTTAAAAGGTCCTGCTTTGTTTTTAAATGATGAGTCTTTATTTCAAATATTGAAGTAAGAAAGCTGTGAGTAAGTGATATGATCTTGCTTGTTCTGTGCTGTATTACTTAAGTGTTTACTCAAGTGCTACTACAGATATAGGCGGATCATTTTTCCTCTTCAATTTTTATGTTTATTGCCCTCTCAGTTGCTGGGTTTGTTATACAAACACTAGAAAATGTTGTTCCTCACTTGACCTATTCATTCATGTAAATGGCATTAATATGTATTTCTTTTTTGTTTTTACAGGTTATTGAATCCCTAGGGATTATTATATATAAAGCCCTGGACTATGGTTTGAAGGAGAATGAAGAGAGGGAATTAAGTCCTCCACTGGAGCAGCTTATTGACTACATGACTAATGCCACAGAAACAGATGGGAGTAGGGATGAAGGATATGATGCTCTGGATGAAGGAGAGGAGGAGGATGATGATGACAAAGAAGAAGTTGAGGCCATTCACTCCTATAAAGATGTCATGAAGGTACAGTAGGTGGCAGTTTATATGATAGTTCTGTCAATGAGAAAATCAACTCTGTTTTTTGTGTTATTATTCTGTGTGATACTGGCTGTGTCATTTCATGATTTCCGTATGGTTTGCTTGTGAAAATGACATGCAGTATTATTGCAAGTTTGACAGTAGGGAACAGAAAATCCATGATCAACTTTAGCATTGCATGTGCCATTTATATCACAATCTGATTTAATCCTTGCACTGGATAGTCAGCCTTGCAGTGTAAACATCTGTTGAATTACTTTGTGTACTCTTGGATACTTCATGGTGTGTTTCAATTAATTCACCTTTTCATTAGCAGGTTATTAGTGTAATTATTTCTTATCAGTTCCTTTGCTTGCCACCCTCCCCTCCTGAAGCACAGGAGGGCTTTTATAAGAGTAGCTTATTTGTATGGAGTGAGTCAGGACATAGCATTTCACTGGTGATCATTATGGTTGCAGTTCTTGACCTGAGCTGTGAAATTTGGAAATATAGCTTATGAACTTTAATTGTGACAAGTTCTTTAATATAATCTGGGCAACTGTGAATAATCATTTAAAAGTATTACCCTCTGTTTTCTACAGAGCAATCTTCTCTACTTGTTTTAGAGCCCAGTGAACTCTTATTACAGACAAGGTATTAATAAGCATGGTTGAAAAAGAAAAAAGTGTAATTGGTTTAACTCATAAATAATCTGATATGAACGCAGGTTGGAGAACATTATGCTAACTTGTACCAGAGGGTTGAGCCATTTATAGTGCTTCATCACAAATGCAACACATATCTAAGGACCAGGAGCTTAGTGCTCTGCATAAATTAAGTAGCATGGTGGAAGCTGAGACTAGAAGAATGTCCCAAATAGCCCATCAGAACACTCAGATAAAAGACCCCACTAAAATTCTTCTGTTCCTCTGGGTTAACAGTAGAGAGAAACTCTTAGGAGACTGGAGGGGAAGTAACTTTGAGATGGTTTTCCTCGCATCAGAAGTAATGCTAAATGCTCAATGCCTTTGTTTTTCCTCCCTCCCTCAGAGAAGCAGAGGCCAGAGGGAAAAATGAATGAAATGGTCTTTGCTCCCTTGTAATGGGGAGGGCCTGTCTGGCTGAAGTGCTCTGCCCTTCAAGTCCCTGCCACTGCCAGCCTTGCTGAGCTACTGCGTGCAGGTGCTTTGCTCTCTCCTCCCTCTCCCTCTCCCTGACACCCAGTCACCTGCTCCAGAGAGGACCAGCAGCACCCTGCTAAGCCATGCAAGCTGCTCCAGACAGTGCAGAGGAAATGCAGAATATTGATGGGATACATTCCTCTTTTCCCCCGGTTTGGCAAAATGCTGTGAACCGTGACAATTGAAGTTAGATTGCTAAGTGAAAGTTTCACTTAATGCAGAGGCAGAAAAGACCTTTATATACACAGAGCTGAAGACAGTGGCTTTCTGGGAGTGATTAATTTGCAAGTTCTTTACTTGATTTCTGTGAACAATGAAAGATAAATTGGGAAAACTTTGCTGAACTCCTTTAGGTACACTGATGTAGATATCCCTGAAATACAAAAGCAGTAAGAAAATTGAACAGGTTTCAATGTTTAAGGCCATGGAATGGCATCCTTTTCATTTGGCTTTGTCAATATCTCTGCTAGTCTGAGGTACCTGCCTGTTTGTATGTTTTAAAATCAGCATCTTACATTTTATTTCTTCATCGTATTTTGTTAATAATTTTATATCATTCTGGACACGTACTGCTTGTATGACTTCATCTTAGTAAACTGAAGGTCAGCTGTCAATTTGTACATCATCTTAACTTTTACGCCTTCATCCCTTGGAATTCACTTTTATTTCTATGGTTTTTGCCTAAATTATGTGCCACAGGCTTAACTCTGCAGATTACCTTTATTCCCTACTCAGTGTTGTTACTGCATTGACAGTACTAGAATGGCAGCATCATTTTGCCATATTTTTGACATGAGTGCAGGTTTGCAAGACCTTTTTTTTCCTGACTTAATACCTTTTTAGGGGTAAGACCATCTTTTACATGTGGCTTTCTCTTATTTCCCCCTACCCCCACAAGAGTGGTAAAATATTAGAGGCTACACCCTTATTTACCCAATGACTGTTTCACAACAGTAGTGTGTGGTCTTGTGACCATGAGGCTCGATTATTTTGAGTCCCTCTTGGCAAGACTCATTGTGAAGCTTTTTCCTCTACACTTCCTCAGTACAAACTGCAGTTTGTAGTGAATGCTGAAGCAGGTTTGCTCGTTGAATTGAGAACTGTTGTTCTTGCCTCTTCTGCCTTCTCTACATCACAAGCTTGGAAAATGGTAGAGATGGTCTGTGTGCTACTAATACTGATTTTAAAGGTTTTTAACTATGTTGTTTTCGATCTGGAAATTACTTTGTCCTTGAAGAGTGATTATATGGTTCCTCCTTTACCAAAAATTGTCATTACCTGGTCTAAGGCCTGCCTGTCACTAAGACTGAATTTTTCACCATTAATCACTAACTTGATTGAGCATATTTTGTGATTAAAACACAGGGGTAGTTGTGTGTCAGGTTCCTATGTAATGTAAAGTAAGCAAGGTCAATCCTGCATCCTCCCTCTAGGCTGGAACATGCTGAGTAATGTGGCAAACACTGATTCCTAAGAACTGGGAAAAGGGTAAGTGCTAAATAGTGCTGCCAAGATCATCATTGCCAAAGCCAGTGGGGAAGACACAGACAAGCTTTTGTGCTGCTTCTTGGTATATTTGGCTGATTAAGCTTCTGGTTTCCTTGGCAGGACCAACCTGCTGCCCAGACTTGACCTACTGTTTTTAAAAATCCATCTGTGAAGAGAGGAGACATTGGTTGTCAGAAGCTTTTAGTATTTGATATATTTCTGATTTGTCAGCCCTACTACAAATGAAGGGAGAAATGGAGACAGTAAAGACTGGACACTTTCAGAGAGATGCCTTCCTTGTTTTGAGTCCCTCCCCCTCCCCCTGCCCACTGTGTGCACACACCATGCTGTGTGGTATAGGAGCTCGGTGCATGTCAGGAGTGCCAGGTTTGCTCTGCATGTACACAAGACACAGTAATCCCAAGGAAATGAGAGCTCATCAGGTTGACAGCACACATACACCTTGGGAAGCCTTGGTGAGCAGAGAGTCTAGACAGGGAAGGCCTGGCATGCTGGGCAGCGTTGGGCTTGCTAAGGGTGTGGGAGGTCCTGTCATATGGCACCTTTATCACAGCGTGGGGGCCCTCCCTGATACTGAGACAAGATGATGTAGTTTATCAGCCTCTTCCAGAGTACGCTCAAACCCTAATTCCACTCCTAATCTTAACATTATCACACTCCTTATCCCACAGATCTCTGCAGTCAGATGGTTTAAACCAACAACATTTTTCATGTTAACCCAGAGGCACTTTCTAAGCTGCGATTTATCAATATCTGCTGCCTTGAGCCCCAACCCTAAACCCAGTTACAGTATTATATACAGTATTCATTCTAGGTCAACACCCCTTTCTAATTCTAGATGTAAAGGTAACCTCATAAGGCTTTGATAACAGGCTTTATTCTGTGCTGGTATTTGCTGGGCTGAACTGCCATCCTAGCCCTGTCATTTCTTCCAGATCTGAACGTCATTGTAGCCAAATCACTACTGCCAGTACTAGACTTTACCTCAGCCCTTCTGCAGAGCAGAGGTGTTGCAGACGTGTTGCCAGTTGTGCCTGCAAGTCACGACACTAACCTTTGTCACTGCCTTGATACCTTTTTCTGCAGGTCTTGTAGAAGGTACATAAAGGAGGCAGTACCTTTCCTGAACCAGTATCTTTCTCTTACTTATGTTCACCTTTCATCCCAAAAGTTAACTCAGTTTTTAACAGGAACCTTATCTGTAGCCAAACAACACCTTCTTGTCTAGGACACAAATACAGCTAGATAGTGTCTAGTGCTCAGTGGCTTCGGGTCCCAGGTCTTACCTCACTAATTGCTTTTAAGAAGTTCAGTAATAGTGTTTGTTAATTCTGTCCAAAAATCAACAGTCATGCAAGTGCTGCTTCACAAAGATGACCTTTACCCAGGCCTCATATAGACAAAACACGTACATAGAAAATCTCCATGCTGACTTAATTTGCATTATTTTTTTTCAGAGCATTGCGGTCAGTATTGTGTTATCTTGCTATAAGAAATGTAAACAAGGATGCAGTTTGCAATATTTTTAGTGGTAGAAAATGATGTTTGTGCTTTGCAAAGAGGAAGAATAAATTGTTTCTCCTAACCTCAAACACTCCTCTCCCATTTCAGTTATTTTAATCACTGGCATGGTCATGAGATGAGAAACTTGTATGTCTAGGTGACTCATATGTCTTGGTAGTTCAAGGATATGACTGACGCCTTTCAGCTGGAAGGAACTGAAATTTACAGTGTTGATATTGATCTGCCTCTGTTTTATTTTGAGTACTCTGATACTAGTACAGATCTGCCATCTATGGCATGTGTAGGATTATAGGGCAAAAGAAAATATGTCCTGTCTCAATGCAATTATAGGCAGGATAGGAAGATCTACATTTAGATCTAAGTATCTTGGAGACTCCCTTCTGATTCTGAGGACTATTATCATATAGATGCTGTGACCCCATGTAAGTATAATATGGGAACCTGTCAGAGAGGAACCAGAAAATGCAGTTAAAAACAAGTCAGGGTATTTGTTTATGACAGACAGTTAAAGAGTTCGTATTACTGGAATTCAAAGGCCCATAATTTTGTCTAGTCCAAGCCTAGTAAGGTGCAGCTTTCTGTGAGTGTAATTCAGTTTAAGGCTGGGCTGTCTTAAACATTTTTGTATGAGCCCGCAGAACAGTATTTATGCTTCATTCCAAAACAAGCAATTTGCAGTGTACACTGTGTAACACAGTGTAACTCTGTGAAGCTGGTGAAGATTTGGAAACTTACTGAGATGGTAAACAAAGTCCCAGATGTTGCCAGTTCATTTTGTATTAAAAAGAAATG